CAAAGGAGGTGAGGGGGTGGGGGCAGAAAGTGGAGACGAAAGCAAAAAACAGAACATTGCTAGAGAGCAGAAAAGGAGGTGAAAGCTGACAATTTTAGAGACAATCCACTAACCGGATCCGAACCCGGGACCTATGAATGAGAGGCGAACACCTTAACATCTAGGTCACGAGAACCCTCTTACTTGGTTGGAGAATAGGCATCATTGTAGGCGGCACAATGCCATAGCTGCTCCTCCCTCCTCTCCAGGATCCATGAAAGGGTCTGTCTGCTGATCGTGTCAGTTGACAGCTGGTTGAATATTCTTCTGCCTTTTCTACGCAGGTTGCTGTCTCTCCCCGACCCTCTAGAGACACCAGCTTCCCTTAGTCTATCCATTGTGTGTGATGTGGTGCCTTCATCCTCTCTGTGGTCGTTGAACCATGCTGTCAATGCTGCCTTCATCCTCTCTGTGGTCGTTGAACCAAGCTGTCAATGCTGCCTTCATCCTCTCTGTGGTCGTTGAACCAAGCTGTCAATGCTGCCTTCATCCTCTCTGTGGTCGTTGAACCACGCTGTCAATGCTGCCATGACTGTTGGTGGATCTAGTTTCATGGTTCCCCCAATCTCAGCCTGGCCAGCCAGCTTATCAGCATGTTCAGCAAAGTTATCAAGCTTCTTCCTCCACTCACTCAATTATCGTGGTAAAACCTTCACTACCCCCCCCCCCCCAAAGGACAGTGCTATTGACTGAGGTTGTTTTTAGGCCATTTCCAAAGGGGGGACATTAACATGTTCTTACGCACAGTAGAATTGTAAATGGGCTGATTTATCAATGTCATGCTCATACTGTGCCGGAATAACATAGGGGGAACTGCTGCTTTTTCTTTCCTCATCCTTCATCATCTTCCAGTGCCAGATCTGTGATCTATTCATTCCTTTGTTCAGGTGCTCTAAAAAAGCAAAGGTTTCCCTGATCCTTCCCTGTTACCCGTTTGTTTAGGTTTGTTAAGTATGTTGTTCTGGCTCTACCCCTGCCTTATTATCGTCATTTTCCTCTACTTCTTTTGTACGTTTGTCACTCTTTTGTGAACTGCTATTTCCGGGGTGCCTTGCTATTCGAAGCAGACTTTGTGCTGTTGAGGCTAGAGAGGTGAGTAGAGTAAGCCTGATTCTCCGTTTGGTCTCTTCTGTTGACATCCATCCCTTGGCGCTCACATGACTTTAGGCAGTTGCAAGCGCCGTAAAAACTTACTAAAACTGGAGTAAAAGCCTTAGCTACCAATGCATTGAGCATATCATTACCAAGTTGAATCTAAATTGATTCTTCGTCATCTGACAAACCAATGTTGGTCTATTTCTACAATAAATAGAATAAATATTAGCATTAAAAGTCACCCCAATTACGGCTGCTCAGATTAACAGCAAACATCGCTGGACAGTCGCTGCATTGGAACCCACAGGGAGCACGAGGCAGGGGTAGGCCACGGGAAACATGGAGTAGACGTATGGAAAGGGACTTGAGAGAAATGAAGCTCAATTAGAACGAGCTTGGAAGGATGGCCCAGGACAGAGATAAATGGAAGGAGCTTGTATGTGGCCTATACCCTGCCAGGGGTGAAAGACATTGATGATGATGATTTTTTTTGTTTCCTTAATGGGCCTGACGGACTTCACGAAGAAATCTTCGAGCGAGAGCGAGGGTCTTTTTCGGCTCCATTGTCAATATGCTTAGCGGCACCTCCACTCGTCCAAATAACTCCATTCGAATTGCCATTGTTCCTGGACATTCAAACATATGTTTGATATCCTCCCTTTCATGGCTGCATCTTCGGCAACATGGGCTGAGCTCTTCATTTACAAAGTTCTTATACCATCTTAAACTCCAATGATGGTCCGACCGCAGTCTCGCTAGCTCAACCTGGTCCCAGCGACATGTGATAGATTTTTGTTCCCGCTTATAGGAGTACCCAGAATACACATCTTCCAGGTGCTCAAAGTGGCAAGCTGTCCCCTTCACGATGGGGAGTACCGTTCTCAACGAAGACAGCCACATCCAATGGGGAAGCTCTGATGATGATGATGATGATGATGATGATGATGATGATGATGATGATGATGATGTGGCTTGGAGACTGTCGAGAAATCAAGCGCTGATTGATATTTTCCGTGCGATCACGGTCACGCTTGAGGGAGACGCGCTGTGACGTAGAATCACTTCGAAATTTGTCGCCTAGCAGGATTAAACTTTGGGTTCAAAATTTTAAAATAATTATCGTAGGTAAAAACTGATTTCATATTCGGAATCAGCGTCTCAAAATAAGCAGAGACGTATCAGGTGAACCTGATTGGATGCATTATTATGTATATTTTAGCAATTTTATTATTCAGTTGATCGTCAATGGTGAAGTTGTGTATCAAGGTCACCCGGTGCGTTGCACATCTGCAGTCAAGTCAATGACTTGGAATCTCCCTGATCGAAAGAAAACTGAACGATAGATTTGAACATCTAAACAGACTACAAGCTCGATAAAACGGACAGTTCTCGCATACCACGAATCTGACACAATATATCGTAGCGTGTGACGGGGACATTAGGCTGATCTATTTATAAAGGACACATTTCAAACCATTGAAAGCAGACGATGTGTGAGAATGAGGAAGCCATAGTCTCGAACCAAAAGCCAACAAGACAGACGTGGCTATGAACAGATACAATATAATAGGCCTAATAATAACAACACAATATCGGGGGCAAAAAGTGCGCAACTTCCGCCGAAAGGACATCCGTCTGGTCTAGACTAGCATCAACAAAAGTGATTTGTTTTAGGAAGGTTTTACGGCGGTTTACCACAAGAAGCGTAGATCTAATCTAGATCTATGTGTGTACTTATCTCTAACAAAAACTTGCGCACACAAAACCTGAAAATGCTCCGATGTATAGATCTAGATCTACATTATTAGGGAGGAGATTGTTTTGTTTAATTCGGGATTTTTTCTACAACATAGCCTGCTCTAGATTCTAGATCTAGATATACTAAGATATCAAGATCTAGCTCCTCTATGCGCGAGGGGAGAAGAGAATGGGAGTGATCCTGTCGTGCTGTCAGCACCGGACCCACACGGACTATGACCCCAACCCTGACCCCTCCACGGGCCTGAGCCACCAAGACTGGTTCTTGTTGAGCAAAGGACGAAAAAAAGTGCTCACGAAATCGACCATTTCCGATCTGTTCAGTAAGTGAGTACAAATGGCTAGATCTAGATCTGTTTGTGATTGTTTTGTTGTTCAGTAAGTGAGTACAAATGGCTAGATCTAGATCTGTTTGTGATTGTTTTGTTGTTCAGTAAGTGAGTACAAATGGCTAGATCTAGATCTGTTTGTGAT